AACAACAACAACAACAACAACAACAACAACAACAACAACAACAACAACAGCAGCAACAACAACAACAACAACAACAACAACAACAGCAACAAAACCTTGATTTGAAGGACAACCTGCTACCCCAGATGCCCCCTATCTTTAGGTCAGGTGAAGTACTGCCATTGAAATACATATTTGGGGAACAGGGACGCAGACTTTTCAAATTAAGTGTTAGATCATCACTTCTAAAACATAGTCAGTAGCTGCTTAGAAGCAGTAGAGTGTTTCATGTGAAGTCAGAAGGTGTGAATTTGAGTATTAGCTCTGTCACTTACTACCTCTGTTATGCTAAATAAGGCTCTCAATGCCTCCTGGCCCCAGTTTCCACTTAAGTGGCTGAGATTATATCTTTGTCTGAGATTATATTTGCTATCCCTGCCTTTTGTGCATCAGCTGGAGTGTAATGAATTCTACTCCAACCCTCAATTTTAACTCAGTGTGTATTTCTCATTTTTAAATGTTTCTTGTACACAACATATTGTTGGATTCTGATTTTCATCCATTCTGTTATCCATTTCTGTTTTATGGGTGGGTTCATCCCTCACATTCAAAGTTGTAATTGCTATTTGTGAATTTCTCTCCATCTTATTTTTACTATTTTCCTTCTCAGCCTCTCTTTTCACCTTATCCCTATTACCTTACCTTCTCCCCTTACCCTCTTATTCCTTATTTTACCTTCCCCTTTAAAAGTCCATCCCTACACCCTCTTATCCTGTTCTATAAGTCCTTACCCTTCCCTATTCTCCAGTTTTCTCACTTCTCTAGAATTTCAGAAGACTGCTAAACCTCTTTAGATATATATGTTGTTTCCTCTTCAACCCAGATAAGCCTAAAGTTCCAATATTACCCGCCCTCCATCCCTACCTGCTCCTCTGTATTAGGTCTTCCTTTCATTCTCTGTTTTTATTAGATAATTTCTTCTTTTAACCTTTTCCCATCCAATTTTAATTTTTTAATAATTACTTCATCATATGCAATTCAGCTCCAACCTTTCTTTGAAACTACCTTAGTAGTGATAACAGTAATGTAATAATAAAATAATAACAAGTAATACTTACTAATATTAATAACATTTTCATATACCATGATCTTAATCAGTGTCTTATAATTAGTCTTTAATGATTTCCTTATATTTCTTCTGGATCTTTTATATCAAATTTTCCCTTGAGTTCTGGTCTTTTTGTTACAAATACCTGAAAGTCTTTCAGTTAATCAAATATCAATTTTTTTTCACTTAGGATTATACACTACTTTTCTGAATAAGTTTTTCTTGGATACTCATTTGTTCTTCAAAATATAATGTTCCAAGACCTATGGTCTTTTGGTTTTAATAATCTCATTTTATATTTTTGCATGAATATAATTTCTTTAGGATTAGGATTTCTTATGGGTCTATTACTGGTTCAGTGTTTGATCTGGTGTTTATGTATTTATATATTTATTGATTTGGGAATGCTACAGAGAATGTTACCATATCTATAAAGGTGACTGAAGAGAAGAGATTCATGTCAGTTTAGAAAATAAAGACAATTTGACATTTCAAATAATGTCTCTAGAATGTCAAATTGCACTACTTAAACCTAAGTAAATAGGGAAAGTAGCATGAACTAGCAAAACATCTGAAATATTGAACATTCTTTGAATGATGCATACTTTCAAGTGCTAACTAGGTTAACATCAGATTATCTAGTGCAGGATCTTAGAGAATCCATTTTATTGAGGAGGTTTTTAACCTGAAGTACATACATAGTCTCCCTATTGGGTTTATGATCTTGGATGAGGAAAATGACTACAATTTTAAAATCATTATTTCCTCCAAAATTCTATGTATTTCATGTCCTACATTTAAAAAAATGTTCTGAGAAGACATTTGTAGGATTTACTGACTATTGAAAAGGTCCATGACACAGAAAAAGACTAAGAACCCTGTTTTAATGAATGTCACTGGACTGTGTCAGGAGACAAGAGTTCTAGTAATAGACCTAGTTATATAACCTCAGAAAAAAATCATTTACGAAACAGGAGGCCAGACTTCTATATCATCTTCTATATAGCCAATACTTGACTCAAAGTCACTGTTCTTTAATGATAAATTTAACATTTTTTTTGTGAACAAGAATAAATAGTCTCAAAATATCATCTCAATTTTATTAAGAATGGGAATTCAGGGCCACAAAGTGGGAGTCCATATAAAAACAGTATGTTAACATGTTAAGTCATGATATTTTGGTACTTCTGCCATGAATTTTAAGGGAAAGTGAGTCGGATTGGAAGCAAGGAGTATTGGATGCTAGTGCTTGCTCTACAAGGTATGGGCAAGGACAAGTCACTTCATTTTTTTCTGAACCTCAGTTTCCTCCAAATTATAGCTGCTAAGTGATTCTTTTAACTTTGTAATTTTGTGGTCCAATGAAGTTCTGATGATACTCAAAAGATGACAATAGAAACCACATAATAAAGTAAACATCCAGTTTGAATTTTTACACTAGAAGAATCCTTCTGGTTGAGCTAAATGGCCAAATAATTTTTTTTCACTCACCTATGGTGGGATCATGATAATCAGGAAACCGGTGACTGATAAACTGCATTGTCATTGCTAAGAAGAGACAGAGAAAGAGAGAGAAAGAGAGAGAGAGAGTATGTAAATGAATCTGTTAATAAAATATAACAAAAGGTCAAAAAACATTGGTAAAAATTCACAAAAAAATTCACAGGCCTAATAATTCAATTTCCAAATTTTATCATGTGATTCTTCAGCAAATATCTTTGGAGGCATAAGCCAAATCTTGTAGAACTAAAAACATACTTCCATTATTACCAGCAAATGGAACAAATACCCTTATACTCTTCTCAGTAATATTTAAACTAGATAGTATGGATTAGTTGATAGAAAACTGTAAAGGGAGTCAGAATACCTGAATCTGAGTCCTGGTTCTGCCTAATTAGCTCTTCGGCTTTGGGAAAGTTGTGACATGTCCCTGGGTCTTAGCTTCTTCACACGGGAAAGGAATGGATTTGATTAGGTATTCTCTGAAGTCCATTACTGCTCAAAATTCTATGACGTTATAACCTTTTTATTAACCGATGACTCATAATTATTACTCACAACCATAATGATGAACACTGTAGAAGATAGTTAGGGATAAATAGCCCTATATCAAATGGCCTCTGAACACTCACTCTCCAGATTGTTAATATCCTTTCAGTAGTATGTTACCCAAAACTAAACATAGCACTCCAGATTTGGTCTGACCAGTGATGAACAAAATGGGAACATCACTATCTCCTGAACATATTCTGCAAATCCAGCCTTTCTTGGTTTCATTTTCACAATTCCTTATAGTTAGAATGCTCTTCTTTCCCATCAGAGGCATATTTGTCACTGATTGGGAGGTAGTGGTGGGAACAGGAAAGGATTAAGTGAGGCTTCAAGGAGGTAGTGATGTTTGAGATCAACTTTGAACAGAAGCTTTGTACAGAAACACACCAAAGAGGGAGAAAGAGGACATTCTAGGCATAACAGGGCGTGGGTGAAGGGAGAGATGAACAAAGGGACACAAGATTAAAAAACATATAGGGAAGAACACATGCTGTATATATTTGGTTTCTTTATGGGCTAAAACATAGAATGTTTTTGTTGTTGTTTAGTCATGTCCGACTCCTCATGATCCTATAGGCCATGCTGTCCATGGGGTTTTCTTAGCACAAAGACTAGAGTGGTTTGCCATTTCCTTCTCCAGTGGATTAAGGTAAACAGAGGTTAAGTGACTTGCCCAGGGTCACACAGCTAGTAAGTGTTTGAGGGAAGATTTGAACTCAGGTCTTCCTGATTCTAGGTCCAATACTCCATCCACTGAGCAACCTAGCTGCCTCTTAGGCAAATAGAAGTTAAATGACTTGCCCAAGGTCACACAGCTAGTAAGTGCCTGAGATAGGATTTGAATTCAGGTTTTCTGACTCCAGGCCAAGAGATCTATCCCCAGAGCCTAGATATCTAGCTGCCTAGCTAGCATTTACATGGAACTTTTAACATTTGGAAAGTGCTTTATCTATATTAACTGATTTTATCCTTTCAATAATATGCTTGTAAGTAGGTGCTATCATCATCATCGGCATCATCATCATCATCATCATCATCATGTTACAAATGAGAAAGCCGAGGCAGACAGAGGTTAAATGAATTACCTGGGGTTACACAGAAAGTATTTGATTCAGGATTTTAACTCAGTTCTATCCTGACTACAAGTCCAGCACTTTATCCACTGTAACAACAATATACCCACATGACTTATTTCTCCTGCTATACTAAGCACTGTAAGAGCAGGGCCTTGTCTTATTCAATGCATTCTCCAAAAGGCCTTGCATAAAAGAAGTGCTTAAGGAATGAAAACGCTAAAAAACTACAGACATTTCTAAATGCTGTAGAGGACTGAAAGGACACTACTACACCCTTCACTGCATTCATCCACCACACAAAAAATATTATAAAACAAATAAACAAATATTAAGTTAATCCATCCATATGCTTTGGGAAAATTGCTGCCATTTTCATATGGGGTAAGCTGAGGCACAGAGAGAGTGGAATGCTTAAACTGACAAGAACAAAATAAGGCTCTGAAAAGATCACAAGTCACTTGATTCTCAAGTTAGTATTTTTATTTTGTTGTGCTGAATCTTTCTTAAACAGACAGACAAACATACACCTAAAGCAATAAATATGTAGGGTGGCTATGTCTAATATGATGACTCAAGTCATTCTAGTTGTCTAGGTCACTATCAACATTTCAAACTAGACAATACCCACTTCAGAGCTCATCCTAACACATTTCCCATTTAATGTAAGTACAAAGGTATTTAAGACTTACTCAAGACACCTACTTTAAAGAAGAATTTTGAAAAATTAAAAAGCTCTACAGGAAAGCATGGTGGCTTATTGTTAAAATATTAAATGTCACTTGGTTAAAATACAAAGATTCTTTTCTATTCTGTTAACTAGAGAATCAATTTTGATATCATGGATATAGGCCAAAAAAAAGTGAAATTGCCACTTATTGGAAAAGAATAAATGTTTTGACAAATAAGATATTAGATTAATATGGTCATTGGGCAAAAAGGAAATTATAGTGGCCTTTATAAATTCTCTTGGTGTCTACTTACATTAAAACATCTTGTTTTGAAGGATTCACTGGCTTCAGATAAACATGTCTTCTGCGTTATTTAAGAGAAGTTTAAATAATGTTCAATAGTTAAATTCTTGTGTGACATAAACAATTCCTAGTTACAACTTAAATTATACCTCTAGGCAGCTAGGTAGTATACTGCATACAGTGCTGGAATTGGAAACAAGGATTGAATTCAAATCCTGCCTCATACATTTAAGTGGGGGATATGAGCCAGGGCAAGGTCAAGGAGCAGCCACTTATCCTTAGTTTCTTTAACTGTCAAATGGTGATGACTTTGAACCCCGAGTCCTATGAAGCCCATGAACTCCAATCTGGAACAGAGTCTACTCTGAAAAAGAGACAAACAAAATTGGGGTACTTCTGTCTACAGTTTAATTTTACAAAGTGGCTTGACATGCAATCCATGGGAGTTCAGTCCAAAAGAGGCCAGTTCAGAACTGGTTCGGTTTGGGATTTTTTGGTACAGCATTATATGCCCTTCAAAGAGTAGGTGTTCCCAAGGGGGTGCCAATCAACCATGATTGGTCAACATACTAGGAGATGGGTGGGTTCCTTACATCACTCTGTCCACAGGGGCTGATATCCCCCACCATCAGAGGAAATGCCCCCTCCAGTCTTAGAAGTCTGTCTCCACCCAAACCTGAGCAGATAAAATTGATTCAGGACTGGGTTGGAATTTGACCATGGTAAGAAAATTCAATGCAATCTCATTATCAGAGATGTCCTTCTGAAGAACTTTGAAGCAGAAAGCTGGCAGGGTGGAGTTCTGAGTCACCAAGAAACAGATTACCAAGAGAAATCATTTTTAACAAAATAGAATCTACGTTACATGATTATTTTAAGGAAATACATGTAAAGTGTTTTGCAAACTTCAAAACCTTGTATAGATGTTAGCAATTATCATTTTTATTTTTTTATTTTTTTAATTTGGTAATTTAAAATTTTTTTTTTGTTTTTAACATTTACTTCCACAAGATTTTGAGTTCCAAATTTTTACCCCATCTCACCCCTCCCCCCACCCCAAGATAGCATGCATTCTAAATACCCAGCCCCCTAGTCTGCCTTTCCTTCTATCTCTCTCCCCCTTCTCTTATCCCCTTCCCCTTCAATTTTCCTGTAGGGCAGGATGGATTTCTGTACTCCATTTCCTGTATTTCTTATTTCCCAGTTGCATGTGAAAACATTTTTTTTAACATGTGTTTTTAAAACTTTGGGTTCTAAATTTTCTCCCTTCCTCCCTCCCCACCCACCATCATTGAAAAGGCAAGCAACTCAATATAGGTTATACACGTGCAGTTATGAAAAACACTTTCATAGTAGACAGGCCGTGAAAAACTAACTCTATTTCCCTTAATCCTATCCTGCCCCCTCATTTGTTCTATTCTTTCTTTTTACCCCGTCCCTCCTTAGAACTATACTCCCTTTCCCAATCTGCCCTCCTCTCTATCATTCCCCTACTCTCTTGTCCCCTTTCCCCCCATTTTCCTGTAGGGTAAGACAGATTTCCACACCCAATTCAGTGTGTATGTTATTCCCTCCTTAAGTCAAATCCTATGAGAATAAGATTCACTCATTCCCTCTGGCCTTCCCCCTTTTCCCCTCTATTGTAAGAGTCTTTTCTTTTCTGTTTTTTTTTTGTAGGATAATTTACCCCATTCTACCTCTCCCTTTCTCTGTCTCCTAGTATATTCCTCTCTTATCCCTTAATTTTATTCTCCAGATATGACCCCTTCATTTTCAACTCACCCTGTGCCCTCTATCTATATCTATATCTATATCTATATATATGTACATAAAATTTTTTCCCCTCCAACTACCCTAATACTGACAAAGGTCTCATGAGTTACAAATATCATCTTTCCATGCAGGAACAATTCAACCTTAATAAGTATCTTATGATTTTCTCTTTCCTGTTTACCTCTTCATGTTCCACTCGAGTCCTGTATTTGAAAATCAAATTTTCTATTCAACTCTGGTCTTTTCATCAAGAATGTTTGAAAGTCCTCTATTTCACTGAATGACCATTTTTCCCCCTGAAGGATTATACTCAGTTATGCTGAGTAGGTGATTCTTGGTTGTAATCCTATCTCCTTTGCTCTCTGGAATATTATATTCTATGCCCTGCTGTCCCTTAATGTAGAAGCAGCTAAATCTTGTGTTATCCTGATTGTGTTTCCACAGTACTTGAATTGTTTCTTTCTGGCTGCTTGTAATATTTCTCCTTGACCTGGGAACTCTGGAATTTGGCTACAATATTCCTAGGAGTTTTCCTTTGGGGATTTCTTTCAGGAGGAGATCAGTGGATTCTTTCCATTTCTATTTTGCCCTCTGGTTCTAAAATATCAGGACAGTTTTCCTGGATAATTTCTTGGAAGATGATGTCTAGGCTTTTTTTTGATCATAGCTTTCAGAT